TTATATCTGGATAGAAAATGGCATCCAAATTTTTAATATTTGACTATCTGAATTTATGCTTGTCCATTTTTGATTATGGAAATGTTCCATTTGGGAATAAACTCACCCTGCTAGCAAACAGCAAAGAGGTTTGCATCGGAATGGTTAAAGTCTTTAGGCGGAGGAAAAATGAGCACGAAGTTATAACAAATTTGAAAAATTAGGTTACATCGTAGACGACTTCCCAAGTTCTGAAACATGAAAATATTTAAGATTTTTTCTATCGAAAATTGAAGCCATGCTTGTGAGCATCGCGGAATATTTTTCTAGGTTAAAAAGATGGAGACGAATAAAGAAACTCCTCATGCAAAACATTGAATTAAGTGCTACCAGTAACTGACTAGCAATATTGAGGCGCAAACAGCTGAATACCACTACTTTCGAACAACTCCATTTGAGAGAATCGCCTTTTATACGCCAATAGCATTTGAATAATTTATATACTAAAAAGTACAGTTTTTCCTATTAATTTTATTTAGAGTACCGAGGGTGCATCATCTACTGGGTGGTTGACAGAACTGAACAAGTTAACTTTGAGTATCGGTCTGCGTGCTATAGGTTATATTATGAGAGATAAGTAGTTCTTCACGGGTACTCAAGTTAACAGTTTTGCATGAAGTTGCACTATGTTTAAATTAATATTTTTAAAACAACCTTTCCTTACCGTTCTCTAAATAGCAATACTTTTCCACAGATAAATATTGTTTAAAGCGATTGTGTTTAATGTTGCGTAATTCCCTTCTTCTTCTTTTAAATTCAAAAAATAATCTTTTAAATTTCGTAGGAATATTTTGTTCAATTTTATTTCGGTGCTGTTTAATGTGCGTAGTATCAATTACCTTCATGGTGCACAGTATATCGAAGCACTTGCCGGTGTATACCAACTGACATTCAAATGGTTTTAAGTGCAGCAATTTAAATATGGTATCAGTCTTCTGCTGAAGGTTTACACTAACACAAGCATAGATACTAAATATTTCAGACCCAAACATACACATACTTCCAAATTAACCGCACATTTCCTAGAAATCTCTACTAGCGCTCAAACAATTTCATATACAAACAACACATTTGAAGAAGCGGCCACACTGTGCAAATTTTGGTAACGTTTCAAGGAGATAATTAAGGAAATATGCTACAATATCTACGTCGTGGGATGGGCTTGTACCCATCATGCATCTTGTATAGGGGAACCCACTAATTCAACGCGTAGCTAGATCTTTATTCTAACTTGGGTGATCACACTCTAGGATGAATTTAACCAGAATATTTTCGACGAAATGACAACCGTATGCAGGTTTGTTGTTTAAGTGATTCACAGTCCGACATGCTTGCTTTACTTGTAGAATACATGTAGTAGAATAACAGTCTTCGGTAACTTTTCTTTGCCCTGCGACTGATACAGTTGATTAATAAGAGTATTGGGCTGCAAAACTGCCCTCTCCTACTAAATGTTGTTCCTCATACGCCGGATTTGCTCAGGTGGTGCCCAACAATCGGCCTTTAACTGATTCGATGGCTGATTGGTCGCTGGATTGAAAATGGAAACCTTAGTCTTATTAATTTGAAGATTTATCAAACCTTATTGGAATCTCTGCAAGACAAATCTCGCATGCACATTGAAGAAGGAATGCACCGGTGGTGTTAATTTGTTCTCACTGAACTGATCAAGTACCCAACGTATGAAAACCTTTCTGAGGACAAGGGTCTCAGACAGGATAGTGCAGGTTAATTGCAACCAAGTCTTGATGACTACTTCCAGCTCTTCCATAGTGACCCGTGCTTTATACTACGTGTTAGGCTGTAGCACTGCAACTATGATGTCATCTTCGGTGGCGATGCAGGAGGTGCCCACATTGCCTCACAATCCACGGACAGCCTCTAAGAAGGAATACCGCAGCTTAATAAACACTTTGATTCATGAAGGCACAACTTCACCAAACGTACTTTGCAATTACTCAAAAGTGGTGCTGATTAATATAATATCTGCAAACATAAAACGCCAAGCTCACCACTGATATCCATGGAGTATGATGCTCCTAATCACAGCAGGGCAATCTTTAATTTTATTCAGTTATCTCTGTCTACATGGAAAAGCCTTTGTGTTGAAACCATTACATATTTCACAAAATCCATCAGAGGTTAAATTGTTTTTCCAAGTCATATGCAATTTTCCATGTACTGTTATCAGTAAACAGATTATTTTCTTCTTGTATAAAAGGATGCGTACATACAGGAGCTGATCTTGCTATATAAGACAGTATATAGTAGGATTTCATTTCTTTCAGCACTGGCGATAATCCAGGCTGCGAACTAATCTGATTGCAATGCCAATTAAATAAACTAACATAAACTGCTTTCCACATTTAACAAACCTGTAAAATTATTATATATTTGTTCACTCAAAGACAATCTGCCTATTCATAACATTTGTCCTACACTGTACAGCAAACTGTAAGCGTAATAATGAGATTGATGTTAAATACAGCTTTTCGAGCTATGCCAAAGTTAATCCATGCAATTTGACAAATGTAATAAAGTTAGTTCCTTCTAAAATCTAATGATCTGCGGTGTCCAGATTCTTAATCCAACTGCGAATTTAACAGATACTTCATTAAATGCAGATCCAAAAATTTTGTAGACGCCTAAGTCAATATATTTTTACACTAAGTATTTCCTACATTTCAGTTGGATAAGTATTGCAATTTTACGCATTGTTCCAAAAGCCAAAATAACCCGACTTATAATGCAACATGTTTTCTGCATCATGCGTTTTGCATAAGCTTTTACAAGGTTCGAATCGTAATATTCGAACAACATATTTGCCTGATTTCTCAATCCAGAACATCTATTAGGCGAACAAGCGTTATCGTCATGGAAATGAAAGCAGATTTTCCAAGCCAACTATATTACTTTATATTAAAAAGCTATAACAGGTATTCAAAAATCAAAAGTTCAGACTCATATATAATTTCCTGCGTTGCCCTACGCACATCCTGATTATGCTGTAGCAAACAATGTCGCAATGTTCGTTAGTCGTCAGTATTTTGTTTAGGTGAAGTCGTATGTTTTCAACTCACACAGGGCATAAATGTTCGTTTCGATTCCAAGGGAATGGCGAAATAATGTTTGATTCTTAAAATATTCATCTAAAAGCAAACGCGTATATTTAAATGAATTAATTACGATAGATAAGCCTTTTGTTTAATATTATTAATAACAGGTTAACATACGCGCATTTTATTGAGCTTATGATACACTGGTTATAATCATAATGATAGGATATTTGAGCAGGAAGACTGTGTTCTCACCTTGATAATGTTTCTGAAACGGATTACTGTTATTTGATTAACCATAGCAATGCGACTAAATTAGCAAATTTCGCAAACAGGATAAATGTTATTTTCCAAATATAGTAATATGCGAAATTGTATACTTTTAAGCGCGACTATCAAATGTAGGCTTTATTCCAATGATCGATTATAAGTCCTTTTTACGCACGTGCCGTATTTATATTTAAATTAATGTTATTCTATTGCATACTGGTCTTAGTCTTAGTTAGTCTTGATTTGAGTCTTGATTGAGCCTAGAAAAATCAAATATTTGATTAAAAGTAGTGTTCAACAATTAGCTTTGTATTGTGCTCATGTATTATTAAAACTGTACATCGGATGGAAACATGCTGCGGTAATGACACTAAAAAGAACTACATCGACTTGATGATGTATCCGTGTAGGATGATATAATACGAACATGCTCATAATATCCATCTAGAATGAAATGCAGTTTATCAATAACATTCAACTCTGCTGGAACATTGTATTGAAAACTATATCAACTGGCAAAATGAAAAGCATTTATAATACATAGACAATTCAACCATTAGTCAATAGCTGTATCTGTGTACAAACTGCTAAAAGGCATTTGTAATTGTATTATATGTTTCTCTGTCACATACAAATCAATTTAGGAAAGCAAACGGTATTGTTTCAAGTGTATGCGTTAGCGTACAATTGTATGTAATTCATGTAAACGGATGTTGCTGTGACGGTGTGTTTAGGTACATTGTAGTTATTCATTTCTGCACTGATTTTGATGTTTGTTCATATTTCTTACGATCCGTGTTACACTGTCTGGCGTAGTCGGATTCAATTGATTGCTGAAGGTTTATAGTAATTTTACATGCTGTACCTTCAAGGTGATGAGGAATATATAATTAAGTTCTTCTTTGCACTAATGCTCACCCATTTTCTTTTAATATGCTTGAAATACCCCAACAACTTAAATTATATTTCGGTTTCAACTGAAGCATTTAATTTAAGAAAAGTTTTCATTTTATATCAAAATGTCAGATAGCAACAGAAAAATTGCCTGGATTTCTGTGGTCAAACGTATTAATTATTTCTTAGATATGCAAACATTATGTTGTACTAAAAAGAACGAATGAGCTCACATATTTATATTTGTAATTTTACATGATGTGCTTTACGACCATCATTGCCTCAAGCTTCCCCATGTCATGACACAATGATGCCCAAGCCAATGTCTTCACTTGATCGCATTGAGCGGTCAATACGCTTCATTGATTTATCGTATTTAAATACGCTATATTTGTTTTATTCCTACTATCTGTGTTGTATTGGCCTGATGCGTACCACCGAAAACAGGCTTGTTCGCATAACTGTCTTTTGCTTCTAAATAAAATGTGTATTGTTATTAATTACTTTAAAACAGTACTACCAAACTTGCATCTAAGTAAAGGTGCACAAACGTTTGCATGTTTGTTAAGCACATTTGAGAACCAGCATACAAAACTGCAGCTTTTCCTGGGTTTACAATTTACTTACTATGCAACAAGGTTTACTTACGGTAAACTCATCCCAGACATTTAAACCAAGATTAATTCAAGCTTTATATATACGTTAAAAAATTAACACGCATTTCATATTATTGGGACTTACCGGTCTGCCGTGATTCCGATGAATGTAAACACAGAAATGGCAATGTTAAATGCGGTGAAGAATTGGGACAGTTTGCAATAAGGAAGCCCAAATATCCAATCTCTGGTCAGCGCGTAGTACACATTTGGTATAATTTGAAAAATGGACAACAAATCCCCGGCAGACAAATTAAAGAGAAAGTAATTTGTCACGGTTCTCATTCCACGGTTTCTGAGTATAATGAGCATAACCACGGTATTCCCGAAAATTGAGAAAAATACAAGTACGGTAAACATGAAAACTATGAAAAGTATTTCTGGTTTTGTAAACTCAACGTCATCCATGTTGATGTACTCTATGATGTTGGTTTTGGGACAAAATTTTACAGAACTCTATAATCATGCTTGCACTTGAGGCAAGTGTCTAGTAACAGAAACTGGCAAGCCAACTGCTGTGAACCACCAATGACACTAAGGCAAATCCCATTGGTTACTATTTCAAAAAGCAATTGGTTAGGCGTTGTGTGTCACGTCATTAACAGTGCACTGACTGCAGAACCCTTTAATATACCATGGTACTACAAGCAGGAAAAAACAAGATGGTGCCAAAACATAAACACCTAACTTGCCACCAATGTAGTTAAGTGTGCTTAATTCCAAGGTAGTAAACTTTAAATAAACTTAGTCGCATACATGAAGTTTTTTCGTATGTTTGAGTAGTGGTAAATACGAACTGCAAGGAAAGATTGTTGATGGTTACAAAGTTATATAAATTAGAAAGTTGGAACTATTTCACATCCGGCTAGTTGGTAAATGTTGTGCGAAAAGTCTGTTATCTAACGTTGATGCTTTTGCGTTTTATATTCAATGGTAAGGGAGAGGATAAGTGGTTCTACTCAAAAGCTTACTTTTTACATATTGTTTCCTTTCGTTCAGTATTGAACCGCGTTTGATATAAATTAGGTAAATCGATAGCAAGCAAGAGGCGTAATGGGACTTCAAATGGATAGAACATCATAATTCAGTCTATTTTTTCTCGACACCTATAAGCTAGAAAATAATTAGTACTTACAGATTGAACTGCATTCCAAGGTTTTACAAAAACTGTAGCATCCATTGTTTGCTCAAGATTGGCTGAATGTGACATGACTATTTGAATGTACAGGTTGATGCAGCCATGTAACTCAGTGTTTGGAAATTTACAGTTTAGGTTTCGCTGCCTCAGAATCAGCTGTTTAAGTTTACTCTCTTTAAGCAAATTGCAGTGTATTCATTCATTATTATTTTCTTATAGATATTTATATTTCTCCTCAACAACCGCTTTGCGTAAATGGCAAATCCATATAGCTATAAGATCGAGTTGGCTACGCAGTCTTCCAGGCAGCAACGTCGTAAGATCAAAATCCTGTGTTTACAAGATGGTAATTTTCCAGTTACATACTTTAACTTGTTGGTTATACAAACATGCCATGTCTACCATGAAAATAATCCGCATGTAAAAGTATTTAAGACTTCTTGCGTCAAAATACAATAATTCTATATTTCTAGTTAATATTTGTGAATTTATCCTAATAAGCCAGAGGATGATATTATGTGAATAAGTGACAGAAATCTGAGATTTAAATGCCATGAAATTATTTCACAATAACGATGAAATAGGATCACAATGAAATAATTGTTTAAAGCAAAATACTGAACTGTATACGTATTTGATACATAAGCAAAAGTTAACATTTTGATAGAAAATCAAAACCAGCCCCCATTAATCAAGCTTCCTGCTTAGGTAAACCTGAGAAAAAAAGGTTAAAATTCCCTTGCTAACAAACCGAAAAAGAGGGCGTGATTAAAGCTCGGGTTAGTACAGGATTGGCGTTCTTGAATTATTGACTAAGCAAACGCCATGTTATCAACATTGGATTTTCTAAATGTATGAGTAAATATAATCAAAGGTCCTTTGTGGCCTAGTGTCTCCTGATAACCATTTATGTATAGCTTCCTAACAACATTGAATTGTCACCATTTTTTCATTATAATTTGGACTGCAGATAGTAAGATGCAATATATTTCCTAAATAAGTAGGTAGCATTAAAAACTGAACCAATGTGAAACATTTTGCAGTTTTAAACTTAGCAATGTGGTTTATCACATAGGGTTGATGTGAAAAACATTGCATGACCCAATGATACGCATATGCACTAAGTACACTTCATAATCTTAGCAGTTATATTCAAAGGATTGTCTACACATAATAACAAGCTATCGCGGCTAACTTCTCACTTTCCTCAACAATACTTAAAAGATTACTTCTAAAGCTGAGGCTGCGTTAAATTAAGAAATATAGCATTGACGATTATTCATAAATCATTACTGAATACTGTCTCTTAGAGCAAGTATAATTAAATTGTTTACAAATCTTTTGAATCATATTGAGAAAGTTATAAACGTTGTCGTCTGTGAATATATTCATCGTTATCAAATAACCTCTAAAATATCTGACTCACGGTATTGAATGACACACAAAAATAAGATGCCCTCGTAAGTCTGCAGTCCCACTCTGAAAATAATAGTGGTAAACTATAACTCAAATAATGCTTCGAAATGCTGCACAGTTCTTTCCTCCATAATTTTTTTTAAATAGTATCAATATTTACCACTCTCCGTTCCATTCATAGTGGCTAGGGAACACGCTTCACATCGCGCACGAGACGAGGGTATATGTGTCCCCATGTGCTGCAGGTCCCTAGTAAGTGCAATATTGGCCTCAGCATGAGGAAATCAAATACATGTAGAATACGGTAGGTCATAATAATTTCGAGACGCACCTAAAGTAGGAAAATATGTAGAGTCCTAGTTTCAGGCATGGTATTCATACCCCACGAACCCCGGAAATGAGCCTGGTAGGAACTTGTTGGATACATTAGTTCATTTCTACCTTGCATCGAGTAATCGGAAATAAGCGGGAAACCGCGCACTAGCATTGGCTTATTGATGGAAGAGAAGAGGCAAGTGTTAACCTCTTCTGACCATGTACCGAATCTACCTTCTTGAGATCAAAGTATACATTTTCCTTTACCTTATATCGTGTTCATGCTGCAAACGAATGTGATACCACAGAACGAAGCTATACATAGGTCCTTCACGGATGATTGCAATATAGCGGTTGGAGGTCAAGTGTAAAATTTTGGCTGTCTGCACCATTTGCTGGGCTCATAAATAAAGGTTCGGCTGGTTTGCCCGGGAAACCACCTTCTGCAGGCCATGTGGATAGGCTACGGAGGTCAATATAATGAAGCCCACCGTCATCCAGATAGCCAATTCCTCTAAAAATCGTCATGTCCTCTGCACATCAGGCACACGACCACCCACTGAATTTAGTGCTTGAAGAATACACGTTTTTACCTAAATCCCATACGCGCCAAAAAGCGGAATTTTACAGGTTTCAAAATGTTTTCAATGAAATAAGTTTTACTAACATTTAAATTATGATTTCATCACTACGTACCAGCTATTATAAACGCGGGCAAAATATAACCTATATACAAACCTACTGCTCTGATAACATTGTTAGCCCTTGTGTCTTTTAATTTTACAAGATTGAGGACTGTCGGATTAAAGTAAGAAAATATGTTGCAGTTATTCAGTTAAACAAAATAGCTACCTTTGAATTAGTAAAAATCGTACTCACCATAATAGTGTTTTATGTATTTTGATTTCCCAAAAATTAAGGTAGTATGTTTAATGGAACAATCTTTATTCTGCTCGCGAGAAAACGACAAATCATCTAGTTTTGTGAAGTTCGTTCTCTAAAGATCACCAATTGTCAAACATCTCACGCGTTAATTTGCGAGCCCCTGACGATTAAAACCAATAAAAATACCTGCATTAGTAATAAATCAAGGTAACGTTTGTTATGAATATGGGATGTTTACTTTCTAGTCGGTACTGCTTGAAAATGGTGCTGTTTGAATTTTAAAATAATTGCTCACCTTCTGGAGTCAGAGTCAAGAAACCACCGCTTGTTAATTTTGGTTTGCATAAAGGAACTGCTGACATATATTCTATCCATTCTGATATATGTCTATAATCAACCGTTTGACAAGATTCCACTTGTTATTTTCTACCAATAATAGTACCTAAGTTATACACAGATAAATGGTACATTGGGTAAAATTATGCTACATTTATTGCTGCAAATCACATGTTACCGTTTTGCTTCCGGCAGCAGGAACAAATAAAACCTTAAGTTTTGAAGCTGCTTGCAACTCTTCGATTATTTTGCAGTTGTATGCAACTGCCTGCGATGGTAACATTGTGACAGGTAAACTACCTAGAATGCCATGGTAACAGCATAATTGATAGCGCTGCATTTGACAGACATAATGCAATGCGAAGGATTAATTAACTATGCGAACAGAACGTGAGTTGCTGCCTTTTATTTTGTCATTGTTATTAAGTTTGGATTGACGTAAATGCAAGCGCAATATTAGATTGGGTAACCCGAATTATTTTTTCATTTCCAAGATACAGCAATAAAATGCCGTATTTGTATATTTAATACATTAAGATATATATAAATTTGATTCCAATATCTTTAAAGTCAACTAGGTAAACAGCGCATAAATTCAATTATGGCCTAATAATTGCTATAAATGCTTAGCCAGGCACTTGTCATACTTTGCTGTAGGTGAAATTCCAAACTTAGCATTTCATTAACAACGGTATAACAGTTGTGGTAGTGATTCAAGCCATGCGAGATACATTGATAATATGACGTTTTCGTTAGAATATCTTTATATTTACAGGTTTATGACGGCTGACGTTATCATTCTACGTGCAAAGCTGTATATAAATGTAACTGTTAAATACTGCGGTGGAATTAGTTGCTGACGCACTTGGCTTAATAAACCTTAATGAATAATGCACACTTTGATTGCTGATTTAGTCAATGATTACACTGCTTTGTATCTGTGGATCGAATGAGTAATATTAGAAACTAGTAAACTCCATTATTATTATTTTAAACAACGAAGAAATTCACTTAATCTGTTTGGATGCTGCTGTTCGAATAACTGTTGAATAAATGCAAAGTAACTTTATAGAAACTGATGCTAATGTATCAAAGGCTGTTTGATAAAATTTACCCGTAAACCGTTAGTTTATATGTATACATAAACTAAATCACATGTATGTTCGTATATCTTTAAATGATAAGGGATACTTTTCGGTTATTTTTCGGATAAAGACACTTTTGCATCGTATCTCTCAAACTAAATATGTGGTGCTGCCAGAAATTCCGT